ATCCATGCCAAGTTTGTCTTTTGGAGCTAGGTGTGAATGGTTGAATTGACCACCTTGATTAGCATTTGATAACCTAGCAGTTTCAAGGTGTGGCTTCTTACTGCCTGGGGGAATCCTTCATTGAGAAGTGATTGGCTGTTCCTGAGTGTTTCTTTTCTGGAGTTCCCCTGTGTTTGAGTTTTGTTCTTGCCTTTGACAATACACAGTTTTCCAGCTGTTAGGATTTCTGTTGGAGGCTAAAACATCAGCTTGAGAACCATTGCACTAGAGAATGAATCCACTTAAAATCCAGGTTCTGCATCCTGCAGAATTCTGGGGTTTGTAGTTTAGTAAGGCTGTTAAAGGCTCCCCTCTAAACTACAAACCCCAGAATTCTGTAGGAGGCAGAAACCGGATTTAAAGTGGATTTAAAGTGTGATGAGGCACATGATGTCAAAAACAAAGCTGCAGTAACTATTTTATACAATTAACTTTCTCAAGGATTATTAAAACACTAGCCGTCCCCTGCCATACGTTGCTGTGGCGCAGTTTGTATATATGTGATTTGTGTGTATATATATATTTGTGGATATGTGTGTTTGCATGCATATATATATATATATAGGGTTTTGCGAATGCATTGTAATGTAATTTTGTTTTTTGGCTTTTTAAGTGTCTTCCGCTGTGTTTTTCCGTGTTTTTATGAGTGATGGTGACTCCTTGGGTTAGTAGGTGTCTTGTGTTCAAATTTGGTGGCAATTTGTCAGTGGTTTTTGAGTTCTGTTAATCCCACAAACGAACATTACATTTTTATTTATATAGACTAGCCGTCTCCTGCCACACATTGCTGTGGCCCATTCTAGTGGTCATGGGGGTTCTGTGTGGGAAGTTTGGCCCAATTCTATAGTTTGCTCTATGATTGTAGGCGAACTACAAATCCTAGCAACTACAACTCCCAAATGTCAAGATTCTATTTTTCCCAAACTCCACCAGTGTTCACATTTGGGCATATTGAGTATTTGTGCTAAGTTTGATCCAGATCCCTCATTGCTTGAGTCCACAGTGCTCACTGGATGTAGGTGAACTACAACTCCAGAACCAAAGGACACTGCCCACCAAACCCTTCCAGTATTTTCTGTTGGTCATGGGAGAACTGTGTGCCAAGTTTGGTTCAATTCCATCGTTGGTGGGGTTCAGAATGCTCTTTGATTGTAGATGAACTATAAATCCCAGCAACTACAACTCCCAAATGGCAAAATCAATTTTTTGAGTGAAGGACATACATTGGGTTGTTAGGTGTCTTGTGTCCAAATTTGGAGTCAGTTGGTCCAGTGGTTTTTGAGTTCTGTTAATCCCACAAACGAGCATTACATTTGTGGAACACCCTCCCTGCTGAAGTCAGACAGGCGCCCTCCTTGATGGCCTTTCGTAGGAGCCTGAAAACATGGCTCTTCGAGCAGGCCTTCAACTGAGTGTATCATTGGAACGACTCTGGAATGGACTATGACTACGAAATTGACTATGACCCCAGGATTGGACGAAGCGGATTTTTAGCATAAGTATATGTTTGTAGTAGTAGTTTGGTATGTACTGTCGTGATTTATTGTACACTGTCTTTTTATGTTGTTGTTCACCGCCACGAGTCGCCCCTGGGGCTGAGAGTGGCGGTCAATAAGTGCAAGAAATAATAATAATAATAATAATAATAATTTATATAGATGTTGCAAATTTTAAAACATTCACATAATTTTACACTTTTGCATAGGCTGAAATCTCAGTCACAGAAGAGAATAATTTCACAAAAGTACCAACATTTAAAATCAGAATCTTTTAGTTATTTTACCATAATTTCCCCCTTTGTACAAAGAGACATTGTAGATAGAATCATAGAATCAAAGAGTTGGAAGAGACCTCATGGGCCATCCAGTCCAACCCTCTGCCAAGAAGCAGGAATATTGCATTCAAATCACCCCTGACAGATGGCCATCCAGCCTCTGTTTATAAAATCACCCCTGACAGATGGCCATCCAGCCTCTATTTAAAAGCTTCCAAAGAAGGAGCCTCCACCACACTCCGGGGCAACGAGTTCCACTGCTGAACGGCTCTCACAGTCAGGAGGTTCTTCCTCATGTTCAGATGGAATCTTCTTTCTTGTAGTTTGAAGGCATTGTTCCTTGTCCTAATCTCCATGGAAGCAGTAAACAAGCTTTCTCCGTCCTCCCTGTGGCTTCCTCTCACATATTTATACATGGCTATCATATCTCCTCTCATCCTTCTCTTCTTCAGGCTAAACATGCCCAGCTCCTTAAGCCGCTCCTCATAGGGCTTGTTCTCCAGACCCTTGATCATTTTAGTCGCCCTCCTCTGGACACATTCCAGCTTGTCAATATCTCTCTTCAATTGTGGTGCCCAGAATTGGACACAATATTCCAGGTGTGGTCTAACCAGAGCAGAATAGAGGGGTAGCATGACTTCCCTAGATCTAGACACTATGCTTCTATTGATGCAGCCCAAAATCCCATAGCTTGAATATTTAATTACAGAAGTCACTAGCTGTCCCCTGCCACGGGTTGCTGTGGCCCAGTCTGGTGATCTGGAAAATAAAGTAATAAGGTGTTGATTTCTAATATATGTAATTTCTTTCTGCTTGTGGGTAAACAAAATTTCTTGCTGTTTATTTGTCAATATTGATGTGGAGAGTGTCTGGTTTGCCTACTCTGGAACATGCAACATATAATTGTCCTTCTTTAAGGGTCCCTTTCAAATCTATATCTCTGTGTGAATCATATCTATCTATCTATATCTCTCTGTGTGTGAATTATATCTATCTATCTATCTATCTATCTATCTATCTATCCCTATCTATCTATCTATCTATCTATCTATCTATCTATCTATGGCTGGATGGCTCTTTGTCAGGAGGACCTTGATTACATTTTCTTGCCCTGATGAAGGGAATTGGATAAGTATTTTCTGTTGGTCATGGGGTTTCTGTGTGGGAAGTTTGCCCCGATTCTGTCGTTTGTTTCAGAATGCTCTTTGATTGTAGGTGAACTGTGAATCCCAGTGACTACAACTCCCAAATATCAAGGTCTATTTCCCCCAAACTCCACCTGTGTTCATATTTGGGCATATTGAGTATTCGTGCCAAGTTTGGTCCAGATCCATCATTGTTTGAGTCCACAGTGCTCTCTGGATGTAGATGAACTACAACTCCCAAACTCAAGGTCCATGCCCACCAAACACTTCTAGTATTTTCTGTTGGCCATGGGAGTTCTGTGTGCCAAGTTTGGTTCAATTCCAGTGTTGATGGAGTTCAGAATGCTCTTTGATTGTAGGTGAACTATAAATCCCAGCAACTACAACTCCCAAATGACAAAATCATAATTTTTTGAGTGATGGTCACTCCTTGTGTTGTGAAATGTTTTGTTGCCAAATTTGGTGTGATTTCGTTCATTGGTTCTTTTGTTTTTAAGGTACTCATTATGCACAGAGCATTTATATATATTATTATTATTATTATAACTTTATTTGTACCCCGCTAGCATCTCCCAAGGGATTCGATGCGGCTTACAGCAGGCCGGAGCCCAACACAATACAACAATACAGTACATAGCAAATAAAACAGTTAAAGCAGAAAACAATAAACAATAGCAATGCAACAGGACAATTATTAAAAACTGAGCCGGCCGGAGTAGGGGTACAGGATTAAAAAGTGCTGAAGTGTCGGAGGGATATGGGATTAAAATCAAGTGCAGTGTGCGGTGAGCAGTGATCTTGGCTCTACTAAAGTGCTTCTGGGGTTTGGTAGTGGGGTACCTAATCTGAAAAGGCACATTGGAACAGCCAGGTTTTCACATTCTTTCTGAAAACCGCCAAAGTAGGGGGCTGTCTGAGATCTTTCAGGAGGGCATTCCAGAGGCAGGGGGCCACCACAGAGAAGGCCCTGTCTTGCGTCCCCACCAAACGCGCCTGTGACGCGGGTGGGATCATGAGCAGGGCCTCTCCTGATGACCGGAGTGAGCATGTGGGTTCGTAGACGGCGATGCAGTCACGCAGGTAGGGTGGTCCCAAACCGTTCAGGGCTTTGTAGGTAAGCACCTGCACCTTAAATTGGGCTCGGAAAATAAACGGCAGCCAGTGGAGCTCCTTAAACAGGAGGGTTGACCTCTCTCTGTAATGATTATATATTAGTTTCTTGTTTAAAAGTTTTAGTCTGTTCTTGTTACTTTTCAAGGTTAATATTCTTGAAAATAGTTGCTGTTATGTATAACTTTTGTAATAAAAGCTGTGTTATAAGTGTTATGAGGGAGTTTGTCTCCTCTTTTTACTTTTCCTTCAGGGGAGAGGGAGGGCGCTAGGACCCCGCGGAGGAGGAGGCGAGCGCAAGAGACAATAATTTGTTCCATGGTAAGGCGAAGCTTTCGCGCGAAGCCTTGGCAAAGGGGCACCGCTTGGCCCTCCTTCTTTCCTTCCTTCTCAGCACCATCCCAGGGCTTCCCATTGGAGCCAAACGGGGCTGCAACGGTCAACGGGGCTTGGCCGTGCCAAAAAGGAAAGGGGGGAAAGAAAGCCCCGACAGTTTAAATTCCAAAAAAGCCAAAGATGAGAGCAAAGCCCAACTTTTCATCCTCCGCCTCTGCTGGAGCAGGAGGGGTCGGGGAGTCCGCTCCACGCAGGAAATCCCTCACATCCTGAGTTGCCCAGAGAGCTCGCTCTTGCTCTCTCTCTCTCTCTGTGTCTGTGTCTCTGCCTGCGTGGACGGGAGTCTCGCTTCATGGGGCAGAGGGCAGGCCTGGGCTAAGGAAGGAAAGAAGGAAGGAAGATGTCCCGGCGCCTCCAGGCGGAGAAGGAAGCCTCCCCGCCGGCTCTTTTCCCTCCCCAGACCCGCTGGTGGGGGGGCTGCTGCTGCTGCTGCCTCCAGCTGCTCAGCCTGGCCAGCTTCCTCCTCCCCCCCGCCGCAGGGGCTCAAGGTAAGTCTGTCAGTCCCAAAGAAGGCCATTTATTGAAGCCCCTTGGCGCTCTGAGGCGTTAGAAGAGGGTGCTTTTGCGTGGGACGCTTCTCTGGAGGGGAAACACTGCCCAGCCCGCCCACCATCTCTTTGTATGGAGAGAGGAAGAGGAAGGGAAGAAGCGGAGGAGAGAGTGAGGGCTCCTCTCTCTGCTTCCTCAGCAGGAGAATGGAAGGCTCTAAGGAGGAGGAGGAGGAGGAGCGCGCCCGCCTCTGCCTTGACGCCTCCCACCCGCCTCTGCTATTCTTGACAAGGCTTGTGGAGAGAGAGAGAGAGGCTTTCCCCACTTTCCTTTCCCACCCACAGGTTGTCCAGCCTCGGGTGTCTTCTCAGCCCTTCTGGAGACCCATTGGAAAAGTATCTCGCAGAACCAGAAAGGTGTCATGCTTTCAAGATTGGATTCTAAGCCTCACCGGGTCATGGAAGCACACTGAGATTGGGTTGGGCTCATGCTTTGAGGGTTGAGTTCCAAGTCCCACTGGGTCATGGATGCACATTGGGATTGGGTTCAAAGCACATTGGAGACTGCTTCTTCAGTTGTGGGTCTTCCCTTTCTCACCCACATGCTGCTCAGCTTTGGGAGTCTTCTCACCATCTCTTTGTATGGGAGACACTTTTCCAAGTGGTCTTCTGGAGACCACTTGGAAAAGTGTCTCACAGAACCAGAAAGGTGTCATGCTTTGAGGGTTGGGTTCCAAGCCCCACTGGGTCATCAAAGCACACTGGGATTTGTTTCATGCTTTGAGGGTTGGGTTCCAAGCCTTACTGGGTCATGGAAGCACACTGGGATTGGTTTGGGTTCATGCTTTGAGGGTTGGGTTCCAAGCCCCACTGGGTCATGGAAGCAGACTGGGATTGGGTACATGCTTTGAAGGTTGGGTTCCAAGCCCCACTGGGTCATCAAAGCACATTGGAGACTGCTTCTTCAGTTATGGGTCTGCCCTTTCTCACCCACATGCTGGTCAGCCTTGGGAGTCTTCTCAGCCCTTCTGGAGACCACTTGGAAAAGTTTCTCCCAGAACCAGGAAGGTGTCATGCTTTGAGGGTTGGATTCCAAGCCCCACTGGGTCATCAAAGCACATTGAAGACTGCTTCTTCAGCTATGGGTCTTCCCTTTCTCACCCACATGCTGCTCAGCCTTGGGAGTCTTCTCAGCCCTTCTGGAGACCACTTGGAAAAGTGTCTCCCAGAACCAGGAAGGTGTCATGCTTTCAAGATTGGGTCCCAAGCCCCACTGGGTCATGGAAGCACACTGGGATTGGGTTCATGCTTTGAGGGTTGGGTTCCAAGCCCCACTGGGTCATCAAAGCACATTGGAGACTGCCTCTTCAGCAATGGGTCTTCCCTTTCCCACCCACATGCTGCCCAGCCTCGGGAGACTTCTCAGCCCTTCTGGAGACCCCTCGGAAAAGTGTCTCCCAGAACCAGGAAGGTGTCATGCTTTCAAGATTGGGTTCCAAGCCCCATTGGGTAATGGAAGCACACTCGGATTGGGTTCATGCTTTGAGGGTTGGGTTCCAAGCCCCACTGGGTCATGGAAGCACACTTCTCAGCCCTTCTGGAGACCCCTTGGAAAAGTGTCTCCCTGAATCAGAAAGGAGTCATGCTTTGAGGGTTGGGATCCAAGCCTCACTGGGTCATGGAAGCACACTGGGACACTGCTTCTTCAGCTATGGGTCCCGACAATGGCTGCGTCAGGAAAAAAATTGGCCACATGAAAGATTTCTTATAATACTAATATTGTGCTTTTTTATTTCATGTCAGGAGCGACTTGAGAAACTGCAAGTCGCTTCTGGTGTGAGACTTGGATGTACTCAATAAATTGAAATGTCTTGAAGACACCTAGGCTGCAGTTGCTTCAATGCCTAATAAATACCCACAAAGGCGTCAGGTCCTGTCTGATTTCAAAGCCATGGAGACTCAGCCATGGTTAGTATTTGGATGGGGAATTACCAATTAATACCAGGTGCTGTAGGCTTTGTTTCAGGGAAGAAACTGGCAAAGCCACCTCGCTTGAGGAAACTATGAAATTCATTAGATTGCCTCAAGTCAATAGGTGAACTGAAGGCACACGCACATTGGCATCATTTCCCTTCTTTCCGACATTCTTGAACAGCTAGAAGGAAGAACACACGTACACACACCTGTAGCTGCTATCTTCTCTCTTCTGCTTTCAGGCTTTCTTGAACAGCTGGGAGGATGCATATTTAATAAGTCAATCTTTCTGCACTGCTGCTTTTGCTCATCTGTTGAACTTTAGGCAAACAGTAGCTAAACCCTGTTAGTGTCATAGGTGTGCATAAGAGTACTATCCCAATGCAACCTCATTGGAAGGGCACAGGTGCTACAAACTGGGTGACAACGTCAGAATTACTCTATATTTTTTTTGTACAGTGTTCCTTTAGGAGTCAAAGAATCATAGTTGGAAGAGACTGCATGGGCCATCTAGTCCAACCCCCTACTATGCAGGAAAAGCACAATCTTGTCACTAGATCAATCAATTATACTTTTGCAATTATTTTTAATCAAAGCTATCCCTGTAGTTAGAAATAACCACAAAAACATTTTGTAGGTTCTGCGTACATGTACTGTATCAATATATGTGCAAAGCTAACACTATATGCTGACTAAATTTGTGAAACTTCTAATGCTCCAGGTCAGAGCTGTCCTTTTTACCCTCTTACAGTACTTCTTTGAATTGTGGTTCTAAGCATGCACTTGTTTTTGTTACTGATTTTGTCAAATTTAATGATATTTTAGTTACAACATGATAGTCTGGTCTGGTGTAGGAAGGGGCCCATGGAAATGACACCATGAAATATCACTTTGTGTGACACCAACCCTTGTGATGCTACTGATCTTCACCTGTTGAACGTCAGGTGAACAATGGCTGGCATCCTGTTAGTGATATACACATATGTGACCATTTCTCTGATTTAGTAAGGACCGTTCCAATTAAATTTGTCCTCCCACTTTTTTCAGCTGGTTGTAGAACCTCCCAGTTTTTCTGACTATACCCCCTCCATATTTATCTTGTTTCAGTTGTTGCAAACTGAGTTCAAAGTGCAAAAATAGTGAAATCCATAGTGAGAAAGGGTAGAAACTTAACCTTCTCAATAGGCTCAGGAATAGACAATTTGCTGCAGCCTTTCCTACCTCGTGTGTTCTTCTTCAAGAATAACCGTTGCCATCTTGACCACACAATGATGGTGCTTGAGGTTGCATGGCACACATGGGGAAATGTATCTGTCATAATGCAACACATATTGACATGCTGCAAAGTGTTGCTATTCTGCATAGAGTTTCCTACTGCTGGTGTAGCATATTTCCCCATGCAGATATTTACCCTATGCATTGGGGATATTGGATTGCAGCCTATTGACTAGTGGTTCTGAACCTTTTTGAAATCACAAACTCCTTCAAAAATGTGATTATTAACTGTGGATTCCCTAATGGGGAATTTATTTAAGGGAAGATAGCTGAATTTGCACCTAATTCATGGACTCCTTCAAGACTTCTGGAGGACTGGTGGCTAAGATCCCTGCCAAAAATAGGGAACAGATGGAAGCAAATTTCAGTTAACTTTTGAAGCCCTCTTTAAAAATACAAACAATATCCTCAGGTTGCTACTCACCTGTTTCATGTTATAGACCAAGAACCTGTCAAGCACCAAAAAGTAACTTAATCTATAAACCAAACTAAGTAATTAATTAATTGGATTTTACTCTCAGGTAGGAACACAAGGCTTAGTTGTGTGTAAAAGTTTTTTTTAATGCATGCTTTTCTCCACCAATAAAAATAATTTGAATTTATTATTTTTAATTTTATTCTAGTATATACTTTTAAAAAACAATACAGTGTATTGCTAAGAAGTGACCATTGTCATTGATGTACTGCTTTCAGGTTGCAATTCTATTCATTGTGTCAAAGGTTTTTGTGGCTGGAATCAATGGGTTGCTATGAGTTTTCTGGGCTGTATGGCCATGTTCCATGGCTGTATGGTCATGTTCCAGACCTCACAAGCTCTGAGAATGCCTGCCATATATGCAGGCGAAATGTCAGATGAGAATGCTTCTAGAACATGGCCATGCAGCCTGAAAAACCTATAACAACCCAGTGATTCCGGCCATGAAAGCCTTCGACAATACATGTTCCAGAATGCTTCTGGAGCATGGCCATACAGCTCAGAAAACTCACAGCAACCCAATCCTAGTCATACTTCACTGGGAGTAAATCCCATTAACCGTAGTAGAATTTCATATGGATGTTGTAACTCAGGAAGCTTCACTCTAGAAATATTTCTTACTATGGTGGTGTATTTATTCGTTCAGTCGCTTCCGATTCTTTGTGACTTCATGGACCAGCCCACGCCAGAGTTCCCTGTCGACCGTCACCACCCCTAGCTCCTTCAGAGTCAAGCCAGTCACTTCAAGGATAACATCCATCCATCTTGCCCTTGGTTGGCTCCTCTTCCTTTTCCTTCCATTTTCCCCAGCATCATTGTCTTCTCTAAGCTTTCCTGTCTTCTCATGATGTGGCCAAAGTACTTCATCTTTGCCTCTAATATCCTTCCCTCCAATGAGCAGTCAGGCTTTATTTCCTGAAGTATGGACTGGTTGGTAGAGATATATAAATTTGCCTAATCAGAAGGAATTCTTGGTGAGTCAACTGGAACATAGTCCCAATTAAGCACAAATGGGATTGCAGCTGAAGTTCAACACCATAGTTGTATGTTTAAATTGAGTTTCTTGTAGGAAAACCTTCCTTGCCACCAAACTTTGAAATAGTCTGTTACTTGGATGAGCTTCAGAAGACTTGCCATATGGATGACTTGTTGAGCATTTCTTTTATGTAAGATAAGAATACAAACACATTAACCACTTCTTAGGGATCTGATGTGTCTATAGTAGACATTCAATAGCTAAGGAACATACTGCATCAGTGTTTTATATGCTCTGTTT